ATTTTTAGTGGCAGCAGGGATAGCTGAACGTTTTGATATAAGGTTTGTGTAGGTGGGCTTGAAAATGAGGGAGTGATGGCAGTTTAGAAATCATGTCCTGATTTTTCAGCTCACACTCTAGCTTTTGTCAGCTCCCACTCTAGTTTTGAACATTCCGCCATTCATTCCTATGGGACCAATTTCACCACAAAAACGGCGATATTTTGTGAACCATTCGGCAAAACATTCCACAAAGTAATAGCACACCATCGGGAACAATCCACATGTTTCGGTATATTACTGTCTATGTAGTGTAAAAACTGTGGGAGGAGTTAGGGTGGTAAATTTTGCTATAATAAGTTCCAGTTTCCTATGTATATCTGGAAAAAGACGGCTATCAATTTTTATCTTTAATATCTCTGTAACTATTGGGCAGAATTGATATTTATGCTGGAGCTATCTTGCTACTTGAGTATCTGAGTCAGGCCACTTGCACGTAGGGTTGTCTAGGTGGAGTAGATCCCTTCCAGCCATCTAGGTGTACTGCATCCCTCCCAGAAGACCTTCATTCTGTGCATTCATTTTTGAATGCATAGGTCCCTAAATGTTGACATCACTCAGTACATAGCCTCATCCAGCCGCAGCCTGCCATAGACTTTGACAGGTAGAAGGCAACCGGGCTAGGCACTGCACCTGCTCCTCCCGGGCACACTAAAACACTTGGAGGAACACGCTGCACCTAGACAGCCACATAGCAGGGGCATAGAAGAAGGTTAGCTGCAGCCACACACAGGGACTGTTTTCTGTGGAGTTGACCTTGATACAGATAAAGTACAGGCAATGCTGTACTGCCCACTTAAAATACAACATATTTTGGATTCAGTCCATTATCAGGCACTAGTGTCAGAAAGGTGCTGCACACATAAGATGACAGAATAACAATGTTTGCTTCAGGCTAACTTGTATTAAAGTGTTACTAAACCCAGTACCCTGCCTTCACTATATCTGGTCTCTCACGGTACACAGAACATGCAATTTTTTGGGTAAATATAAACTGTTAAATGCTAAATCTTATCAGCAGTACATAATAGTCTTGTGACTTATATCAGTGTCTAGCTGAGCACTGGTTAATCTTGGAAGAGGAGTTTTTATTCTCCTCTAACTGGCTTATTAGATTGCATAACTCCTGACCCTCTGTCTGGACAGCACTGATTGGCCCTGTACTGATCACATGTACCCTCCCAAAGAAAACAAGAAACTCTCTAGCCATACACACTAAACTGAGCATGTGCAGAGTGACTCCTGGAGCTCTGTATTATCAGCAGATGGATTGGCGACAGTAGAAGGGGACAATCCGAGAAGACAGGTTCCACAGCCTTTCTACACAATGTGGAGAATTAGCCCCTTAGGTTTCACAGTGAGTATAACAAGCATGCTTTACTGCATATACAGACTGATTTTACGATTTAGTAACACTTTAACAAATGAAAATGGAGAGAACCTGCAAACCCTTAGAAATTACAGAGTGAAGATAGAGGGAAACTGAATTACTTACTTAGTGTTACTTAATACTGGTTTAAAAGAAAAAAAAATTATGTATTCTTAAACCGACAACAGTAAAATTAGTCTGTATATGCAGTAAAGTATGCTTGTTATACTCACTGTGAAACTTAAGGGGTTAATTCTCTGCATTGTGTAAAAAGGCTGTTTGATCCTTTCTTCTCTGCCCCTCCTCTTGTTGAAATGACAACCTGATACAGACTGAATCTGTAGTCACATGCACATGCTCAGTTTGGTGTGCATTGCTAGAGAGGGTCAGGACTTTCACATCCTCCTAGAGCAGAAAGAAAACTCCTCCTACAAGCTTTAACCAGTGCTCTGCTGAAGTCACAAGACTGCTCTAACTGCTTATGAGAAAAGGTATTTAGCAGTTTATATTTACTGAAATAATACCAAGTTGTGTGTACTGTGGGAGACCAGATATAGTGAATGCAGGGTCCTGGGTTTAGTAACACTTTAACATCACAAAGTCCCTTCTGTTGCTCTCAACCTCCTCCAAATCTACAAATCCCTTTTTTTGTGATCTGACTGGGTGGCTACTTTTGTTCCCTATGGTCACACTGTATGCAGGTACGTAGCCATCCTCTCTTGCTTGCTCTTGAGATGGACTATGGAAGTGGGGGGGGGAAAGTAGAAGTTTTGGAAAGTAAGAAACAATCTCAGGAAAAAAATAGTTTACAGGGTCATTAAATAGTGGATATGTATGGATTATTTTTGGAGAAAAATGGATATTGTTTAGTGTCACACAGGGGTGGACTGACCATTTGGAAACTCAGGCACTGCCCGAGGGCCCGGGGTCAGTAGGGGGCCCCATGAGATGCCCCTGGTACCTTTTTCATAGGCTTTTTTGAGTTTGGGCAAGGACACAGGGGCCCCATGAGCCCCTATTGCTCGGCGGCCCCATGAGTTGTCAGTCCGCCCCTGCGCATAAAACATATTCAGGTGACATTAATTTTCAATGGCACCTAAAACACGGTGCGGTTCCATCCTAAATTGTTGTGCGATAAATCGTGCAAATCATGTTGCTCAAAAAAGAGCAGGAGCTTCTTCTGGGGCGACAAGAATTGCACGATATAGTTTGTGTGATTGCAGCGTGATTTATCATGCCAGAATTGCACTTCAATTAAGAGGCTATTGAAGAGGAATTGCACCTGAACACGTGTGGTGCAATTTGTCATTTCTGCATAGCATTTTGGGATAATGGGCAGAACCCCAGAGATTCTGCCCACAATACAAAACGTCCAAATGTGAACAGAACCTAAACATGCTGTATTTTTTAAATGAGAGAAATCAATAGGGAATAGGCTTTTAGGTATATTTTATAGCTCTTACAACAAAATATTATAAAGTAGTATCAACTGTTATGAAAATTATTTAAAAAGTTAGTATTTCACCAACATCCAATCATAAATGCAAATTTAATTTAATTTGCCAGTGTCAATGCATACACACACACACACACGAATGTGAAAAAAAGCGAGTGTATGTGTATGTATATATATATATATATATATATATATATATATATATATATATATATATAAGACTGGAATGTCATTAAAGTTCATGTGAGTGTAAAGACAGGCATCCCAATACGTTTGCTAATATAGTGTATATATAGAGTGTGTATGTATGTATGTGTGTGTGTGTGTGTGTGTATATATATATATATATATATGTGTGTATATATATATATATGTGTGTGTGTATATATATATATGTATATATGTGTGTATATATGTATGTATATATATGTGTATATATGTATGTATATATATGTGTGTGTGTATATATATATATATACAGTGCTCAGCATAAATGAGTACACCCCAACAGATTTGTCAAAAAACCTTTACTTTACTTTCAGAAGCAACATTTTATATGGGACACTATACTACAAAATTCTCCCACAAATGCGAGCCATTGATTGCAAACAAGATTTGTTAATTTGCACACAAAAAAAGTATTTTCCCCAACAAATTCATTCAAGACCATGTTGCAAAAATGAATACACCCCAATGAAAGTCTTAGGAGCAAAGCTAAATTTTAGACAACAAAATCCTAATTAACAAGAATTCAATTACAGGTGAGTCTAATATTTCAGAAATGACACCATATGGAAGAGAAACTATCACAAGGCCTGAGAAAGAAAATAATTTCTTTATACAAGAAATGTGAAGGCTGCAAGAAGATCAGCAAAGCTTTACTTATCAGTCAGAATTGATACAAACGTTTAACAAAGATGAACCTGCAACCATCTCACAGAGACGTCCAGGATTTCCACGAAAGTTAACATCTCCACAGGAGCGTCTTCTGTTGAGAAAGGTTGAAGAAAATCACCATGCAAGTTCACTGAAGTTAGCTGAAGCAGTAGAAAGCGAAACTGGGGTGATTGTTTCCCATGACACAATACTGCGTACAGTACAGAGGAATGGCATACATGAGTGTCGTCCATGAAGGAAGCCTCTCCTAAAGCCCATGCACAAGAAAGCCCACCTAGAATTTGACAGGGCCAATGCTGAAAAGAAGAAGACTACTGGGACTCTGTACTTCGGAGTGATAAAACCGAGATAAATGTTGTTGGAACTGATGGCTTCAAAACTGTATGGCGTCGCAAAGGTGAGGAGTACAAAGAAAAATGCATGGCACTTACAGTGAAACATTGTGGTGGCAGTGACCTGCAGGGCTGCGTGAGTGCTGCTGGTGTTGTGGAGCTGTATTTCATTGATGGTATCATGAATTCACAGATGTACTGCTCTTTTTTGAAAGAGAAGATGCTACCATCACTCTGTGCCCTTGGTCATTGTGCACTTTTCCAACACGACAATGATCCAGAACACACCTCTAAGGCCACTGTTGCATTTCTGAAGAAGAACAGGGTGAAAGGGATTCAGAGGACAAGTATGTCTAGTGACCTAAACCCAAATTAACACCTATGGGGAATTCTGAAGACACAAGTTGCGCATCAATCTCCATCCAGCATCCAGGCTCTAAAAGAGGTCGTTTTTGAAGAATGGAAAAAGATATATGTTGCAGTATGTCACCAGCTTGTTCATTCCATGCCTAGAAGACTTAGTGCTGTCCTTACAAATCATGGAGGTCATACAAAATACTAGCTGTAGTAGTTTTTTGTTGTGGGGTATATTCATTTGTGCATTAACTAATTTGAGTTAAACCGAAGATTTGGTAAACTAAGTTATATTATTAAATTTACTTTCATGTGATGAGCTAAACAAATGTTCTATAAAACTCAATTTTGTCAAAATTTGGGAAATTGTTCTTGTGTTCATTGAGATATCGATTAAAATCTTACTTTTCAAAAGGGGTGTACTCATTTATGCTGAGCACTGTGTATATATGTATGTGTACAGTATATATGTTTGTGTGTGTTTGTATATGGTTTTAGAAGTTGTTCAAGCCTGTGGTATGTAATAGAAATTGTCAAATTTCTTCCCTTACAGATTGTTGCTGGATACCCATTTACGGCTCGTAGTAATTATGAGGTCAGCATTATGGCTGGAGAGCCTGTGACAGTTCTGGAGCCGCATGACAAAGAAGGACGCCCTGAATGGAGCTTAGTGGAAGTGAGCGGACAGAGAGGCTATGTACCCTCTAGCTACCTAGTTAGAGTACCTGTTAGCCGCAGGTCATCGTTGGGTAATTACACTCAGATAAGCTAATACTACTGTGAATCCTGGAAAAGAAGATGAACACTCCATCCCACCTTTCCAAAACCATGACTATTTTATTAGCACTTACCATGACACCTTTTGCTGTGACTTCATAAACATTCACCAACTGCTGTATACAAATGTTTGAGCATAAAAGTACTATTTGGCCGACAAGTAAAATCTTATTGGTTCCAACATGACAATGATCCAAAACACACCTCTAAGGCCACTGTTGCATTTCTGAGGAAAAACAGGGTGAACGGGATTCAGTGGACAAGTATGTCTCCTGACCTAAACCCAAATTAACACTTATGGGGAATTCTGAAGACATAAATTGAGCATCACTCTCCATCCATTCTATGTAATGCTGGCATCTTTACCAGAATACACAAGAGACTTTAAACATGCCAACTAAGCAAGCTCCATTTATTGCAGACTCCATGTATTTACATTGTTGGACTTTATTCACCTGCACTGTATGAAAAATGCTACATATTAACTCCTTAAAGTGCTGACTTTCCTAAAACTCAATGCTAGTGGGATTATACAATGTGAGATGAAAGATGTTGCAATGTGTTTACATAATTGTTATATTAATAAAATAAAATGTGACTCCTAGTCCTCCATAGAGGATCATGCTGTATTCATTTTGTTGGCTGTTAATGTTTTTGCACTGTAAATTAATTTGAAATCAGTAGCAGAAGGGACAACAATGAGACGACCCCCAAAACAGGAATGATTTAACAGGTGAAGGCCACTGATATTTTTTCCCTACTCATCCTTTCTGACTGTTTTTAACCAGTTTTGCATTTGGCTAGGGTCAGTGTCACTACTGGTAGAATGAGGAGATACCTGGACCCTACAGAGGTTGCACAGGCAGTCCAACTCCTCCAGGATGACACATCATTACATGCCATTGCCAGAAGGTTTGCTGTGTCTTCCAGCACAGTCTCAAAAGCATAGAGGAGATTCCAGGAGACAGCCAGTTACTCTAGGAGAGTTTGGCAGGGCCATAGAAGGTCATTAACCCATCAGCACGACCAGTATCTGCTCCTTTGTGAAAGGAGGAACAGGATGAGCACTGGCAGAGCCCTACAAAATGACCTCCAGCAGGCCACTGGTGTGAATGTCTCTGACCAAACAATTAGAAACAGACTTCATGAGGGTGGCCTGAGGGCCCAACGTCCTCTAGTGGGCCCTGTGCTCATTGCCCGGCACCATAGTGCTCGATTGGCATATGCCACCAGAATTGGCAGGTCCTACACTGGTTGCCCTGTGCTTTTCACAGATAAGAGCAGGTTGACCCTGAGCATATGTGACAGATGTGAAAGGGTCTTGCGAAGCCATGGAGAACGTTATGCTGCCTGTAACATCGTTCAGCATGTCTGTTTTGGTGGTGGGTCAGTGATGGTCTGGGGAGGCATATCCATGGAGGGACGCACAGACCTCTACAGGCTAGACAATGGCACCCTGACTGCCATTAGGTATCTTGATGAAATGCTTGGACCTGGGTTTCTCCTGGGTTTCTCCTGGTGCACGACAATGCTCGGCCTCATGTGGCGAGAATATGCAGGCAGTTCCTGGAGGATGAAGGAATTGATACCACTGAATGGCCCCTACGCTCGCCAATAGAACACTTCTGGGATATTATGTTTCATTACATCTGATGCTGCCAGGTTGCACCTCAGACTGTCCAGGAGCTCAGTGATACCCTGGTCCAGATCTGGGGTGAAATCCCCCAGGACACCATCCGTCATCTCATTAGGAGCATTAATCAGACGCTGTCAGGCCTGCATACAAGCACGTAGGAGCCATACCAGGGGTGTATTTACCACAAGGCATTTGCCTAGGGTGGCACTTTTCAGGGGGGGCAGCACTGCTCCTCGAAAGAAGGGATGGAAGAAAGGACACACATGGCATGGAGGCCTGGTGGGTTCTGAGAGATGCTGTGGGTTTCATGTTGGTTTATGTACAGCCCGACTCTCGTTCCTGGGGATGTCCGGAGCTGTGAAGGTGAGTGTCTTTCTCTCTCTCGCCATGGGGGATGGTGGCTGGTGTATGGGGGGCAGTGGTAGTGGAAGGCTCGAGTGGAGGGCAGGGGTATTCTTGGTCAATGTCAGGCTATTTCTGTGGGGGAGAGGGGGGTGCCAATTTTTGTGTTGCCTAAAACAGCAAAAAACCTAAATACGCCACTGAGCCATACAAACTACTGAGTACCATTTTCAGTTGCTGCAATGAAATTTCAGCAAAATGGACTAGCCTGCTGCATAATTTTTTAACTTTGATTTTCAGGGTGTCTTTAAATTCCGTCCTCTGTAGGTTGCTCATTTTCATTTCCATCAAGCGATGGGACATCGTTACATTCCTAACACATTACCCAGTCCATACCAGTATAGGTATCTAGCATGATATTGTTCCCCATTGAGATCTGATGTGTTTTCAAAGTGTTCCTTTAATTTTTCGTGAGCAGTGTAGCATGGTATATAATAAAAAAAATGTGTTAATGACCATGAAAGAAGTACTTTCATAAAACAGATTATCTACTTTACTTCTATCATCAATATCTGTATGGTAGCTAAGGCTGAGGAAAAAAAAAAATGAGAAGAGGTTTGAAGGGATGATTTGGGGTGTACACAACATGGTAAATATAACTTTATCCCTCCTTTTCACCAATTTTCCATGTCAAGTTCGGACAGAATGACACATGCAGGATCAACCTTAAACTAATATTAAAACCTTACTATTTTATTTAATTTCATCTGTCAAGCTGCATACTTACCATACATGCTGTTTCTTTATGCTCAGCCAGTTCCTTCAGCCCTTTCAGGTTTTAGAGTGGCTCCTTTCCCTTATCAGATCCTATAGAGCCTCTTCTGCATGTGTGGATCTGCCAAGGACTAGAGCCAAATGGACATGTGTCAATGAAAACACAAAGCCTGTGCAAGCCACTTCCCTCCTTCCACCTTCAAGCTAGCTAGCTGTTGTTTTGCTGTCCCTTGCAACCATAAGGTTTAGTGCGTGCTTGCCATGAAAGGAAGTTCAGGGAATGCACTAAGCCTCATGGTTGCAAGGGACAGGTCATGATTCTATCAGTGTTGATAGAACTGGAGCTGGTAGCCATGAATTGTAGAAACTGCAAGTGGTTTCAGCCACATGTCTACAAGGCTGCTTAGCATGCAGTCATTCAAAAATAGGAATATTTAAAACTGCTTCAAATCTAGATTCCAGGCAGATATAAACATGCTAATGCAATTTATTCTTTTAAAAAGAATTACATTTATTTTTACATACAACTTGCATATTTTCCTGGATCTGCCATGATATCAGCCTTGTGGGAGAGGGACAGCACTAGAAGCAAATTATGCTCTGAGCATGTACATGCTCAACATGTGATATGCGTGTAGCGCTTACTCGAATAGTAGTCGCTGTAAATTTGCCCAGGCTCTTTCCCAGTGGATTGCCCCACAGCCAGGCACACAAACATTATCACTCTTTTCCTCAATAACCAGTCTAGGGGTGTTTTTTTTTGTTTTTATTTTTGGAGAACTTGGATAGGGTTGAGGGAATTGAGTGGGATACTCCAAAAACAGAAATTATGGACAAATTGAGGACAGTGATCTCCTTTCCATAAAGCTGAAGCAGAAGTCCTTGCATATAGCAAACTGTGGACTTGGCTTGTAATTGAAGCAGTAAAAGCACACAGGCTTCTTCCTTTAACCGCTAACCATTCGGTCACTGTACATAAATGGCCGTGTGGAACAAGCGTCGTTTTGACAGGATGTCCTCATACGGCCTGTCAGAACCTGTGCTTGTGTGCGGCCTTGGGGCCACGCAACGGCATGATCCTGTGATGGCTGCGTCCCTTGGTCACAGCGCTTCACAGATTGGGACATGGGCTCTCTAATTGGCCCTCTTGATCATGTGATGGCTGTGTTCAATCACAGCAATAACATAATGTAATCTAAGCTGTGAAGAGGAGGAGAGGGGGATAGCTTCAGCCTGTCAGCAATCTGTGTGTAGCTGATGATTTTACTGTGCAGCTACACACAGATCACAGAGTTCAACCATCCCACACTAGTGCACCAAACACCATCTGTTCCTTGTCCAAGTACACATCAACATTTATACCAGTGTTCCATCAACATCTGTCACATTGTACCAGTGTCCCATCAATATCTGCAATAGTGTCCCATTGCAACATCAACATCTGTCAGTGTCCCTAGTCGATCATCAACATCTGTAACAGTGTACCGTTGGAGAAAAACATCTGTCAGTGTACCAGATTCCCATCAACACCTGTCACAGTGTACCAGTGCACAAAAACATCTATTGCAGTGTACCAGTGTCCCATCAATATCTGTTACAGTATACCAGTGAACAAACAATCTGTAACAGTGTACCAGTGTTTCATCAAACTTCTGTCACAGTGTACCAGTGCACAAATACATCTGTCAGTGTACTAGTGTCCCATCAACATCTGTCACAGTGTACCAGTGAATAAAACATCTTTCACAGTGTACCAGTGTCCCATAAACATCTGCAATAGTGTCCCATTCTAATATTATCATCTATCAGTGTCCCTATTGAACCTTCAACATCTGTCAGTGTCCTAGTAGACTGTCAACATGAGTCGGTGTCCTCAGTGGGCCTCCAAAAATGTGATAGGTAGTTAGGAAATTGAATGTGTAATTTATACCCCTATAATGACTGAAGGTGCTGCTTGGATTGTGGGCCTCTCTATGTAGCTAGGCTGCGTAAAAGTCTCACATGTGCATCCATGCCACACCAGTGCACCAAGCACCATCTGTCCCTTGCTCAATCAATATCTGTACCAGTGTCCTATGAATATCTGTCACAGTGTACCACTGCAAAAAAGCATCTGTCGCAGCATACCAGTATCCCATCAGCATCTGCAATAGTATCCCATTGAAACATCGACATCTGTCAGTGTCCTATTGCAATATCAACATCTATCAGTGTCCCTAGTGGATTTTCAACATCTGTCGGTG